AATTAATGCATTCATCATTAGAACTGGGAGAATCCTTTGAACGTACTAGGTGGATTTGTTGTCGCTGATCTGCTGAATCGTTCGCCGAAGTAACACATTGCACTGATGTTCGCGACATTCATGATTTTGGCGGCTTCATCGATCTTTGGTGATGGGGCACATAGCATTCTCCCATTTCAGTAGGACACTTATAAACAGTTCTGCAAATTCGGACATAGCCTTCTGGTTTGCCGATGATACAGTACTTTTCAATTTTCTTACTAAATTCCTTCCTGTATCGTGCGAGTAGGATCAACGTGCCATTGTGAGTAACTGTTGGCGACCAATAATTTGCGATCTGGAGGATTGTATGCACATACTTCCACCATTATTGGGACTACTCATGGTCGGCCTTCGCCGCTGGGCATGAACAGTCGGTACCTTGTAGGGATGCATTGACACAGGCTCCTTCAACTTCCGTAACGCGTTCAGGCCTAGGATGCAATCAGTTTTCCCAGCGACCATAAATGGAATTGAAATGAAGCGATTTTCCGCTGATCGAACCAATAGTGACACTTCCCCCACCAATGGGAGTTTGTGACGCGTAATGCAAATTATCGTCACAGCTGTTTGATGAACTCGTGCTTCCGGACAGATGGATCGCAGCACTCCAGTAGAAATGATAAATTCGGTACTCCCGGTATCCGCAATGAATTTAGGATTCGTGCCTGACTATAATTTCACATCTGGGTATGGGTACTGGGCACACTGACTTTGTGTTCGTAGAGAAAGCACAGGGCTGGTTTATTGTTCCACCGATGGCTGTGCGAGATTGCAACGGGGCTAGTTGCACACTCTCAGAATATGGCCAGTATTCCTGCATGCATGAGACTTGGCATTGCGGATGCGGCAATTGAAACACCGATGGTAAGCTCCACATGACAAGCACGGGTTCAGGGCAGGTTAGGTCACAGGACTAGCGGCTGGCGCCAAACGATTGTCCAGTTTCTTGCGTGCCCGAGCTGCAGTGTTCTCGATGCGCTTCGACAGCTTCTGAATTTCTCGCCTCATGTAGAGGGTTTAAGTCAGTACGATCCAGTAGGGGCCAATTGAACGTTTACCTGGAAAGGACCGGGTTGAGAATGCAGCATGAAAAAGACAGGTTCGAGTCACTCTAGTGTACCCTTGAATACTTATATCCATAATTGCATGTAAGTCTTTTTACAAGCCTCGACGTGCCTACCCCTATAGCGTCGAATGCGTTCGACATACACAAACATACGCACATGTATACCTACGTTTGCACCCATGCATGCAGTTATGTGCCTTCATTAACTTGTACTGGTAAGTATCCTTACTGGCTCCAGACTACTGGATCGGAATACGAGCCACGCAATGCGTATTATAGAATGCGAATCAAGGATAAGCCCAGAGTGATTCGCTGACTGTGGGGTACTTCTTCCCAAGGCTAGTCATACTAAACCACAAAAATATGATATGAGGTTCCGGAACCGTTTATAAAAATATGACCCAGGAGAAAAAATGCGCTTGGAAAACGATAATGCTAAAATCTAATCCGAGATGATCGTCAAACCATAAACTAGAAATAAATATAATCTAAAATTATGTGTGGATGACACAGATTCGTAAAAGTAGTTTATGGGCAAAATAAAAAAAATGTGACCTAGAGAAAATTAAAATTTTCCGAGAAAATTTCCAACACGAATAAAAATACGAGGGCTCACCAATTTGTAGGCGCTGACTAAGCGATAACCCGGGATCAAACGTCTTTATAACAGACGAGCGTTCGAACCCAAGCATAACCAGATAGTTGAGAAACAATCATCTCCTTATTTCATTTGTCGCAGCTTCAAGGGATCCATGGAGCCCACCGCTGCAATAAACTGACTAACTGGTACACCACCGTCGACGTCCTGATGTAGTGGAAAAAATACTACAAAAATACGAGAAAAGTAAGACACTGCATTAAAACTGAACTGATCTGAATTCATGAAACGGAGGATGGTTGTATTGTGCGAAACCTGCAGAGCCAAAAAGAGAGATGCCGAGGCTTCAGTAGGCGTGGAGAGAGTGAAAAAAGGCGATGATCAAAGAGGTGGCCTTGGTGCGATAAAATACTGAGGTGTAGGGAGGAAAAGTCTATGTAGAAAGGAAGGTAGTTCGTATCACTGCAAGACGAACAGAGTATAACTTCTGTGAACCGTTAAAAGGCTCAACACTTGGAATAGCAAACACTACAAATTTTAATATAAAAGGCGTGAAATTTCGGAGGACGTGTGTTCAAATCCCACAACCACCGTTACCATGAGTCGTATGGCAACCCTTTGATTGGCCGCTACCCGCTTTCTGAAAAAGGAAGTCAAATGAAAATGGAATGAAAAAAATAAAAAATGTAAGAAGAGCAATTCGGAAATTCAAATCGCGCGCAAACGTATCGCTAAATCAGTACCACTGGTTTCGTTTGCTTTTGTTGGAATTGTGGATTTGTTGAGCCGACTGTCGACAGGAATTACGGTTTCCCGATTAGTTGTGACCACACTTTACTCTGGGGTTAGTGACCTTAACCTATCTGACCTGAATCATTCGTTTTAATTTTCACAGGTCAACAAAGGCGGGCCCCGAAAGAATGCGTGTGTTCGTTGATGCCGTCTCTGGTAAGCAGCAAATTGTACCGCTCTATTTTTCTCTTGCAGGAGATGAAATGTTCTCGGATTCCTTCAAGTTTAAGTTGGTGGATGACGTGGTCTACGAGGTAGAAGGAAAATATGTCATTGTTTCGAACAAAATTGATGACAGCCTCCTCGGCGCTAACCCCTCCGCTGAGGAAGAAAACGAGGCGTTAGAAGAGGGTAGCCAACGGGTTATTGATTTGGTTCATGGAATGCGTCTAACCTACTCTCCCTTTGATAAAAAGGGCTACAAGGATTATCTGAAAGTAACCGGAAGTTTTTACGTGACCAATTTCGCAGGATTACGTCCAGACCATCAAGAAGCGACTTACGGAACAGGATCCTGAAAGAGCTGCCGTATTTGTCAAAAACGCCTCTACGTACATGAAGAAAGTGCTGGATGATTTCTCCAACTATGATACGTATATCAGCGAACACTATAATGGTACCGGTTGGGTTGTGCTGATGAATTTTAGGGAGGATGGGATAACACCATATTTCGTGTTCCTGAAGGACGGATTGAATGAAGTTAAATATGTAAGCTACCCCGATGTGATTCTATTTCACTGCTCAGTGATCTGCATTTACAGGCCCGTCAAATACATTTGTGCACCTGGCTTCAGGTTTCAAGTCTTGTTTCCCCGGGGCGTATGTTAACTGAACATGAACTGAAGGTTTGTCGGAAGGAAAGAATTATTCCCCGAGGAATTCGAGTCGTTCTTAATAAACGGGAGGTTTGGGAAACCCAATTGTGTCCGTATTCGATGTTTTAAGCTTCGTTAAACCTCACTTGTGCGAACCTGAGGAGTTTCCAGGGCCTCCCAAATTCAGTCTTGCATTTTAATGTCGCATTGCGTTCTTAATACAACTCAGTTCTCCGATCATATGCAGCCCTTTCGTCACCGATGTAGTTGACTTATAAATTCTATTGAGGCGGTTCTGTCGGTTCCCGAGCTAAAAAAAATCACTTCGAGACATTCCGATAACCGGCGTTTTTCCGGAACTGTTGAGTACACCAGGAGAGATCCGAAGACCTACCAGCTGACAGGTTATGCGTCACGGATACGACTTGGCGTGTCCAGTCCCTGAAATGACGTTTTCTAAAATTCACCTAAGTTTTCGTGGGTTGTGAAACAACGTCGGCTGTTTTTTCCCGTCGTTTCTGGGAGGTAACCGTTAATACTCAACTTGGGTTACCTTGGGCATATGGCTTGCACGAAGTGTGTTCCAGGTTTACAGCCAACAGATGTTTAATTTGTATGGTGCTTCCACGGGATTGAACACGAAGTTTTAGTTGCTTGTTTTCAGCTCCCATTACGGGATCACTAATCACCGTTAGATTGCTACGGCACACAAAGCAGGGGCTCCTCATCACGCAACTATCAAGAATATCGCTTTCCTCCGGTGAAGATTTTAGTCATACCTCACTGTCATAGGAAATTTATCTTCTCAACCGTGTCCCGTTATAATCGTGTTCGCTTTAAACGACCCTGGGCGTTAGTTCTCGTAATGATTAAACAGCGGATCGTAGGGCGTAACTTTGCGGCCGCTCTAGTTATGGTATACATCAGATAACCGATTTCGGTCTCGTTCCTGGTTAATAGCTTGGGTTGAAACGCATCCTGCTGATCCATTAATCAGTCAATGCCTTCGGGTTATTTGGGCAATAGAGCTAGCTTACCCTGCTTATGACCAGACACCACATCAAATGAAAGGAATTTTGGTCGTTTCATAGGTGGTGCGAGGATCAACCATGTGATAGTGACGCGCGCACTGCGTTCAGTATTTGTCCATGACAGCTTCAACGATCTTTTCGGTAGTGAATGTAGGCTCCAGTGCTTGTGAGTTATAAATAGTCATATACAAGGTGTAGGGATTGGTAATCACTTCGCTTGTTCTCGTGGTAGGTGACTACTGCTGACTTCGACTTTCAAACAAGGCTTGTTTTGCGCGAGCATTTTGTGGTTGGTCCGACTTTGTTGGTGCACTTGACTGATCCTTTGTCCCGTCTTCGCTGGGTCATTTATTTTTACATTAATGTACTTATTATGTAGTTCCATGTAAATGCAGTGTGTTGAGTACTATCTCCCCTGACTTTGTGTAGTGACGGAGTGGTTGTGGTGTTTCGTAGAAATGAACCGGTATCTGTTCGGCAAAATCTAAGCGACTATGCGTTTCCCATTTAGTGGTTGAAATTGGCTGTTACATATGTAAAG